TTTCTTTCTCTTGCTGCTTTTAAGATTCTCTCTTTGTCTTTTGCTCTTGGCATTTAAATTATGATGTGTCTTGGTGTGGTCCTCTTTGGGTTCCTTTTGTTTGGGGTTCTCTGCACTTCCTGGACTTGTAAGTCTATTTCTTTCACCAGGTAGGGGAAGTTTTCTGTCATTATTTATTCAAATAGGTTTTCAATATCTTGCCCTCTCTCTTCTTCTGGTATCCCTATAATTCTGATGTTGGTACGTTTGAAGTTGTCCCAGAGGCTCCTTACACTATCTTCATATTTTTGGAATCTTTTTTCTTTTTTCTTTTTCGGTTGGGTATTTTTTGTTTCTTTGTATTTCAAATCTTTGACTTGATTTTTGGGATCCTCTTGTCTGCTGTTGGATCTCTGTATATTATTCTTTATTTCAGTCAGTGTATGCTTAATTTCTAGTTGGTCCTTTTTCATATCCTCGAGGGTCTCACTAGGTTTCTTGAGGGTCTCACTAAATTCATCGGCGGTTTCCATAAAATTCTTGAAAAACCTTATAAACATGGTTTTGAACTCTATATCCAGTCGTTTGCTTTCCTCCATTTCTGTCATTTGTGACCTGTTTCTTTGTCTCCGCATTTTTTTATGCTTCCCTGTGTTGGTAGAGTGGTTTTGTGTGCTAGGTGTCCTGTAGGGCCCAGTGGCTCAGCCTCCCCCGTTACCTGAGGTGGACATTCTTGGTGCACCCCCTTGTGGGCTTTGTGTACAGTCTTGTTGTAGTTATGCCTTGATTGTTGTAGGATCACTGGGAGTAATTGACCTCCAGGCCAATTGGCAGTGAGAATCGGCTGTGTCTGCAGTGGGAGAACTTCTGTGCTGAAGACACCCTTCTGGGGCAAGACTTGCTTCAGTGGGGCTTTGGTGCTCACTGAGTCTGCCCCCTGGGTGTGTCCCTTATGGATCTGAGGAGTTGTAATCCGGATGGTCCCCCTCTGACCACTGGGTACACTGGCTCTTGGAGGTTACCCAGCAGGAGCTATGAAGAGAACTGCAGATTCCCCTTCCTTTTTTGGAGTTTGGAGGTGCCCTGATGAGGCCCAGCTGTGAAGCAATGCAAGCTGCTGTGGGGCCTTGGGCCTTCTCTTGGAAGTTCTGAGTCTGTGGCCTAGCTGCAGTTTGTTAGGTAATTTTCAGGTTGCAAAGGGCCAGGGCATTCATATGCAAAAGCCTCTGCCGCAGCCTGGGTGGGGCAGGGTCTCAGGGAATCAAAGGGCGGAGCAAGGAACTATGGCGGATTCTCAACCCTGCCCTAAGGGGCCGCGCACGTCTCAGTGTCCTGATAATTTAATTGCTGCAAGCACCTCTGAGGGAAAGCCGCCCTCGAGTTCCGAGTTCTGCCCGCTGCCAGACAGTCCAGTTTCTCCCCGTATGAGTCCTGGGTCCCCAGAGACTTCCCGGAACCGGAGTTCAGAGCAGTCGGGAGCTTGTGACTCCCTCCCGATTCAAAAAGACAGCCACGTCCTCAGGTACCAGCCCCTTTCCGCGCACTCTCGAGCCTCCGTACCTTTGCACTTTACTTCCACAGCTCCTGACCCTCAATGTGCTTTTCTCTTTCCTTCTAGTTGTAGAATTTCCACTCCGCCAGCCTTCCTGTAAGTTCTGGATGATGTTCGTTTTGTCTTTTTATTGTGTTTTGAAGTTGTTGTAGGAGGCAGCAATTTCGGTGTTTCCCTATGCCGCCATCTTAGTTTCTCAGACTTCTCAGTTCTGGGCTCAGCTGCTGAATGACTAATCCAAATAGAAGTAGGAGAGGGATGCCCATGTATACTTGTGCTTTTGTCAGATTTGGAGATAATCTTTTAGGATTGAGGAAAATCTATCACAGAAAATCAGTTAACTTGTACCTCTGGACAAGGGAGTGGGATTTGGAGTGTGGTGAAGGAGTTATGGGTGGCAAAGGGTCTTTAACTCTTAACTGTATGTGACTTTATATTTTGAATTGATTATAGTCAGAATGTGTTCATGTATTATTTATGTCTTTAAGGGGGAAAAAGAATCAGGTTTTTCCAAGTAGCATAAATGTAGGGTCTTTGGGGGCAGAAATAAGAGGATAGCAATGATAAAGTTGTAAAAAGTTTAGTCACAGAACACTGAAAATATACATGTGGCAGGAGCAGTGTGAAGTGGTGGAATATAAGGCTGCAGAAATTGGTGGGAATGAGTGTACAGGTACCTTCCATCCCCTCAAGGACTTCGGATTTTGTTCACAGTTGGTGAGAGACCAATTAGAGTTGAAATAACATTTTAGTAACAATAATAAAGCAGAGCAAAAGCATTCAAAGACATTTTTGAAAAGGTTCATCCATACCTCTGTCTTTTTTTTTTTGTTCTAGTCCTATTAGGCACCATATATATATATATATTGATTTTTTACAGAGAGGAAGGGAGAGGGATAGAGAGTTAGAAACATCGATGAGAGAGAAACATTGATCAGCTGCCTCCTGCACAGCCCCTACTGGGGATGTGCCCGCAACCAAGGTACATGCCCTTGACTGGAATCGAACCTGGGACCCTTCAGTCCGCAGGCCCACGCTCTATCCACTGAGCCAAACTGGTCAGGGCCTACTAGGCACTTTTTAAAAACAGTTATAGTAATAGTTTATGTATCATTTTATGTTCTGCTCTTTTCCCCTAATCTTGTAATAATTTTTTATGTTACTGTGGAAGAGTTTAAGTAAGGGAATGACATGATCAGCTTTGTCTTTTAAAAAGATAACTCTGGCATCACTAGGGAAGATGGCTTGATAGAAGAGAATCAAAATAGGGTTAAAGAGTAGGGAATGTGTTTAAGAGATGTTTAGGGGGTCCTGCCGATGAGAAGAGAGTTCTAGCAAACATGAAAGTACGCCCCTGAGTCCACATTGTAAGTTGAGAGCAAGCCTTACCCATCAGCCAAATAGAAATACTGCTTATTCCTCCTGGAAAGCTCCCCTCTGCCTTCAACATTTTGTACAAGTCTCAGAGATCTGGTTTCATTTTGAAGTAGGCTGAGCTCTAAGAGTCTTTGCAGAGACTAAACCAGTGTTGATCCATTAACAGTGCACAAAAGCATGTAGCTCACAGGGGGTATTGTTAGTGTTATACTTCCTTTTGGTACTTAGCCGATTCCTCTCAGTGGTCAGGAGTGTGTGTGTGTATAGTGATGACAGAGGTTTTGAAAACTTTTTCTTGAATAAAACATTATCATTGTTACTGCAGGAATACATATTAATTTAAAAACTCGCTATATAAAGTTACTTTCAGAAATATACATTTGGAAGGGAGCACTAGACTGTTCAGAGATGGGGTAAATTATGCTGCTCCCCCAAAGTCTTGTTGTTTATAGTTAAGGCAAGTCATTTAATCTCTCTGGTGCCTAGTCTCCACACCTTAAAAAATATAGGAGTTTTTAACCTCTGAAATGTGTATGTTATTACTTCAGCAGTATCTTTTATTTTTGCTGGTGATAAAAAGTAACTTTGATCCTTAGTAGTTGATAGAATAATATACTGTAAGTTACATTTTATCCTTAATAGTACAGGGGCTATCACTAAGTAGGTTAGGGAAGCCTGTGAACTAGTTATCACTAAAAACAGCCTTCACTTTGAACCAGCTATCACCAGAAATCTCCAATTTGATTTTAAGGTTGCTTTGATCAATAATCAAAAGGCATTCTAATCTAGTTTCACGTTTACTTAGCAGACTGGTAGAATTAGTATAGCAGGATAAGTAAGGTGTGGGATTACTTCTTCCCCTCTCCTCTCTCTGCCTCTGTGCCCCTCCCTTGTCTTCCATCTTCCCCTTGTCCTCCTTCTTGAAGAGGGACCAACCCTTTTATGTTAGAGGCCTGATGCACAAAATTCGTGCAAGAGTTAGGCCTGCCTTCCCCCAGCTGCCGGCACCGGCTTCCCTCTGGTACCTGGGACCCGGGCTTTCCTCCAGCTGCCAGCAGGCACCTGGGAAGGGCTTTTCTCTGGGCCAGCAGGCACCTGGGACCCAGGCTGCAACCCCGGCTTCATCTGGAAGGACGTCTGGTATAATTAGCATATTACACTTTTATTATTATAGACCAGTGATGGTGAACCTTTTGAGCTCAGCGTGTCAGCATTTTGAAAAACCCTAACTTAACTCTGGTGCCGTGTCACATATAGAAATTTTTTGATATTTGCAACCATAGTAAAACAAAGACTTGTATTTTTGATATTTATTTTATATATTTAAATGCCATTTAACAAAAATGAACCAAAAAAATGAGTTCGCATGTCACCTCTGACATGCATGTCATAGGTTTACCATCACTGTTATAGATAGTAGATACCATTAGAACAGATTTTAGATGACAGTTAATACTTATATTTTTATAGAGTTAAAACTGTTTAAAATATTACTCCTGTACAATCTCACTTTAAAACTTTAGCTTCCTTTTTTATTTAAAAATAAAAGCCTCAATACTGTTCAGGTCATAGAAAATTCCTCTTACTTCACTAACTCATTTAGAAAAGACTTTATTAAATTGATTTCACTATAATTTTTTTGTTGAAACAGATACATACCTTACTGTTTCCAAAATAGGGTATCAGGTGGCTCCTTCCCTATAGTTAATTTGCTATTTAGTATTAAATCATCTTTGAAATTTTATTATTTCTTAAAGTTGCAGGGTGTTTTATATAATTGAAAGAGTTGAAAGGAACCACAACATCATAACTTAGTCAGATGACCCACAGATGTGAAAACAGACAGATAAAAGGGCCAGAAAAAACCTTAGGTGTGCATGGAGAGGAGCATTGCCATATTTGGCCTTCATTAGATTGTATATTGCTTTGCATATGTACACACAAAGTTTCTTTGGTGACTTTCTGTATTTGATATTAATTTTTGAGTAGATGAGATATTTTAAAAGGTGGATTTGTGTTATATTGGCATATTGTCTATTTGAAAGAAACCACTACTGTCTACTGAAAAAAACACACTATTTTGTTTCCACAGAAACCTGCTAATATTTTAGTTATGGGTGAAGGTCCTGAGCGAGGAAGAGTAAAAATTGGTATGTTATATCTTTGATAAGTCACAGTGTAGCACTCTTTTAAGACTTTTGTAGGCAGCTGTATCACTTCTAATTTTTGCTTTAATAATACGCCTATATTCATGTACCTCCATATGATTGAAGCCATTTTTAAAGAGTATACATTAAAAGTGAAAAGTGTTTCACACTCTTAAAGGTGTCAATCTTTAGAGACTGAAGTGTTCTGATTATAAAATAAGCCATGCAAGCTTTTTAAAAACTTTTACCTTCATTAAAAATAGCCTGTAGTTGGGGGGGGGGGGGGGGCAACGGGGGATAAGGACACATGTAATACCTTAATCAGTAAAGGAAAAAATAATAAAAAATAAAATGAAAAAAATAGAATACTTCTTTTAAAAAATAGCCTGTAGAGGTGAGTGGCTTCTGTTTGTGTTAGACCGCAAGCCTCACCTTTAGTCCCAAGGGCATTCAGCATACTGGTAATTAAACCATCAGGTCTGTTCACCTGAACCAGATTAGATCAGAACATATGCTTCTGTTGACCCCGTCTAGATTAGGAATTACAAACCAGGAAAACCACTGAGGCCAGATAGATACAGAACCTTAAGTTCTAACAAGCCTATCTTGTAGCAGGCCTTTGCCTGATGGTAAAAAAAAAAAAAAATTAATGAGCATTTTGTACTTTGGCATGTTTTTTAATAGCTTCTTAAAAATATATCCAAACAAAATTTTACCCATTTTTGATAATTTATAAGGATAGAAGTAAATTAATTTATCCTAATTGGGTTTTTTTCATTGTCATTTCTAAGTTGTGTGTGTCACATTTAGTTTGTTTTGTGTGTGGGTAGAAATGTTGTAACTGAATTGGATGAATTTAAAGGCAGCAGGTTTGTGGAACCATTTAACAAAGTTAAATAGTAATTTCTGATTCCATGATTTAATATGAATAAGAATTATAAGCTGATTTGTACCATTTCTCCAACAAAGAAAAACATAGGTGTTACTAACTCTTCTTCCCTCTCCTCCTCTATAAATTCCCCAGATCTCACTTTCCACTTTAATTAGACTCAAATATACTCTTTTATGATATAAACATTGCAAACTTTTTAGTAGTGATAACATTTGATGCACCTCAAAGTACTCCTAGTCATTGATTTCCCTAGAGAACCAGGCCCTGTTAGTACTGTCATCAAATGATGTTAAGTCCTCACCTGTGCTTTCAAAGGATTTTGTCCAATCCAGTTTGGTGCCACCAAATTAAAATATAAGTTCAAAGCATGCAAAATGTAAAAGACCCAAATAGTAGTGACAGATGTGTTCTTTACTGTAAAATTTGGGGAAAACATATACTAAGGTAGTCTAGTTTGGGGTTATATTTCTGTGTAATGTATATAATGTTGGCAGGTTTGGGGAGGAAGGCACTAACGGCTTAAAAGCATTCACATTTAAGAAGAAATAAACAGTTTTCTGTGAACCAGTACTCAGTAAGCTGACTCATGGTTTTAATTCTTTGCCAAATGTCTGTGTTTTTCAAACCTCCATAATTAACTAGATTAGGCTAGGATCTACTTCATTAAAAAATGTATGTTAGGAGAACAAACTAAACAAATGGTGGATGAATCTTGAAATTTTTGAATTGGTGGTATGGTAGTGATTTTTTTTATTCAACATGTATTTGCCAAAAGCTATGCATAAAATGACACCATACTTGATACTAAAAAGAATAGAGACATGAAAAAGACACAATTTTTGCCTTTAACAGAATTACAGTGTAGTAGGATAAACAGCCATGCCTCAATAACTACACTACACATTAAACCATATTAAGTGCCATGAACTGTATCTCACCACAGCTCCAGCTCGGATATAAGTGATGGCATTTGTCAAATCACTTAATTTCTTCTAACCTCAATGTTGTCATTTGGAAAAGAAGGTGATTGATTGAACTATATGACTTTAAAGTCTTTTCCAGCTTAACAAAATACTGTGACTCTTAAGTTAGTAAAATTCAACCCAAATAAATGGGGAGAAATAGTGGTGTTAACATACTGTACAGTCAACTTTTGATTATACCAGTCAACAGACTTATTGATGCAATGATGGAAAGCCTTACCCTGATCTCATTTCTCAGTGCGTTTGACCAATGCAAAGAATGGAAATGCAGTTTAACAATCCTGTCCCCAATGGTGGTATGGCAGATAGAAAGAAATCTGCCTAGAGGAGTAGGGTCACCCTTGACCTCTGGCAGCACAGCATGTCTCTAGCCTAGTTGAAGAGTGAGTGACAATAGTTTGCAAAGAATGAAGATCTCAGACTTGTCTTACTTTTAGGTTTTGTGTTTTTGTCTCCCAGAATTCAGCACATTTTCATATCTTACTAAATAACAGTGATAAAATTAGAGTAATCAATTAAATTTGTTAAAATCTATTTACTTAACATTCTTCTATGGGTTTTTTTGTTTGTTTGTTTGTTTGTATTTGTTTTTTTACAGCTGATATGGGCTTTGCCCGATTATTTAATTCACCTTTGAAGCCTTTAGCAGATTTGGATCCAGTAGTTGTAACATTCTGGTACCGAGCTCCAGAATTACTTCTTGGAGCAAGACATTATACCAAAGCTATTGGTGAGTAGAACTAATTAAGATTCTGTGACGTTTTAAAAGTGGCTTTGTTGTTGTAAAATATAAATATTTCTATAAATTTTTGAATCAAGTAACAGAAAAGTATAAAAGTAAGAACAAAAACTAACCTAAAATTCTACTACCTAGAAATATCATCATTGGCATTAGGGGTATATCATTCCAGACATACCTCTCTGATAGATAAATAGATACTAAAAACATTTTAAATATATGAGATCATACTATGCATTCTAAGTAAAAAGTATTTTAAATTTTACTTGAAAGGAGAAATAAGCACAGTAAAATTTCTAAGTTATTGAACTTCAGACAATTATTTTTTTCAAATATTAGTTCCTAAAATATTCCCTTAAAGTTAAGGAAAAAAATACTTTTAAAAGTAGTAATCTAGAATATCTTAATTCACTTTAAAATTTTTATAGTATTGATTACCTCCCTATTATGACATATTAGGAAATTAGTGCTTTTATACTTCTTCCCCCACCTACCTCTCATTTTATAAGCTATATTAGTAATATCATTAGTATTACTACTTTGTTGATGATTTCAGCCTTTAATTTCTGTTTGCAAGCCATAATTCCCATGGTCTAACTTAGATCATATTGTAATAGATTCAGTGTTCAGCTACCATAGTCCTTTTACCACAGGTTTATGTGCTTTGCCACTTTTTGCCCTTATTGTGTGTTTTCACTGGTTACTTAACTTGTTCTATATATGATATTAAACCTACCTTTCTTTTCTTGGATAACTCCATCCTGAAGTTTTCTGTGTTTTGCTCTATTCTGGATTGTGTTTCATCCTGGCTTTTCCTTTCTTTTTTTTCTTTTTTTTTTAAAATTCCTATGGGTTGGGTATATTTCTTTCTGGGTTTCATTATCTCATTCCTTATTTCACTACAGCATATTCTCAAGTAACAGCCTTTAAAGGGGTATCTTAGAGGTAAATTTTCTAGTTCTTGTATTTCTGAAAAATGCCTTTATCATACTTGACAATTTGTCAGGGTGCAAAATTATTTATCTAGGTGCAAAATAATTCTCCCTCAGAATTTGATGATGCTCTTCCATTGTCTTCTAGCATCAATGTTGCTAGTGAAATGTCTCATGCCAACCTTCTTCTCATTTATTGGTATATTGCCTGGGGTTTTTGTCTTTCTTAAAACAAAATAGGATTTCTCATCCTGATATTTCACAGTGATCTGCTGGCTACTTGGTAGACACATTTGATCTGAAGTTCATTTCCTATATCCCTATTTCTTTCTCTCCTAAACTAAGTGTAGACAGATGTTAGACTTCTTTTATTGAGCCGTTATACCACTTTTCTTCTCATGCATTTTCTGCCTTTGTCTTTTTTATTTCCAAGAGCCCCTTCTTTCCTCTGATTCTTAATTTCTCATAACATCTTGTATTGTTTTGTGAGAGGAAAATCTTCTCAAATATCTGTTAAGATAGTGATAACAGTGCTTTTTAATTGTTTGTAATTTGCTGTATTCCTGGAATAATTATCCATTTTTTTCTGTAGGCATTCTTTTTATTTATATGTCTTGATCACTTCTTTCCATGTGGCAGTTGTTCTTCAACTGTTGACCCTTGATTGTATCTTCATATTTACAGATCTCAGATTACATATCTCAGATTACAGAAAGTTGTTTGGGAACTTTGTGTACATTTACTTTAGGGTGATCCAGCAGAGAATTGCCATTAACTGAGGAAACCCTAAATGCTAGCAAGCACAAGTCTTTGCTTTGAGACCGTTCAAATTCTTTAAAGGAAGAATTCTCCCACTTTTGGCCCAGTCTATGTACCTGATAGCCCCTGGGCAGTGGAGGAGAGTGGTGAGAGGAGGATCAGCTCTTAAAAATATAGTTGAAACTAGTGAAAACTGGTCTTGGAGAGGAAATATACTGTGGTCCTAAGGCATGATGAAGTCTTGTGAATTTCAGGGAAGCCAGCTAGATGGCAGAGGTAGAGGGAGACATTGAGGCAGGATGCTGGCCATCATGAGGACACACCTCTGAATTATAGCCACCACAAAGGACCCAGGAGTGTTGACCAATCTTGACTGCTCCCCCCTACCTTTCAGTTTGACGGTGAAAGGCCCCTGTTCCCCTCTGTCCATCCTGACATTTTGGAGCGCCGTGGGCCGCAGCCAGTAAAGTTACGACATAATGGAATGTATTTTAGAAGACTTTTCGTTTAACTCAATGGGTAATCACAGATCCCACGCTCTGTGTGGAGGCTCCACATCTAGTTTACAGCCTTTCGGGGCGGCAGGCGTTGAACCGTTACTGTGAGCTGAGTGTTATTGTACAGGTTTGTTCAAAGGGTGGGTTTGATATTGCCAGGATGGTAGAGAGGAAAAGGCATTCTGGGCAGGAGGAACCACATGGGAACCTTCAGGTGTGTCGTGTGAATGGAGGATAGGAGTAGTTAGTGTGGCTGGAAGATGTGATGTTTGGGAGGGAAGCAAGCTTGATGTTAGAGGGAAATCATTTGAAAGGATTCTATGCTGAATGCTGTACCTTAGATGCATGCTCCATGTTTCATTCAAATGGTGGTGAGAACAGTCAGTGGATAAGATCTAGGTGGACTCGTTGACCATCCCACATTGTTATTAAAAACAAAAAGAAAATACAGTTTACCCTTGAACAACGCAGGGGTTGGAGCAACAACCACCCAAACAATAAAAATTCAGCGTATGAATTGTTGACCCTCCATATACTTGGATTCCCAATTGCGAATCGCAAATATGTACAGACTTGTTGTAGTTGGAATATTTCGAAGTACAAAATCTCCCAGAGTTGTGCAGGTCAATACTGCTTCCTACTTAACAGTAATACTGTGGCCTAGATCCTTCTCAGTACTGTTACATCTGCCTTTCATGTCCCAGAAATATTTTTACATATGTCTGCCTGGATCAGATCTTCACATGGCCAGTCTCTTCTTTTCATTCAGATCTTAGTCAAAATACTGCCTCTTCACAGAGAACTTCCTTGATCACAGTCTAAAGTAACCACCCTACCTTCCTCATCAGAGTTCCTTCCGTCTTACTGTCTTGATAGCATCAAACAGTGCCTGAAACCCACTAAAACAGATCCGCCTGTCCTACCTGTTCCCCAATTGCAGGCCAGAGCCTCTACGGCACATAGTAGTTAGTAACTTAGTATTCTGTTGAGTAAGTGAATGAATCTTGTCCCTGGGGGTCTCCTGTTCTTGTCATTACTGTGGGTTTGTATCTTTATTACTTTGTTGTCATTTCAATGTATACTCAAGAAGGTAAAAGGAGAAATACTTGTGATTATTTCTCCATATCAGTCTTGAATCCAACATGTCTTTTTTCAAAAAATCTTTTTATGTTCACCACTCTTCATACCAGCATTGAGATCACATTTTTTTTTTATAGAAAAATAAATGTAGATAAAGTTAAGTCAGCTTGATATGGGATTTGTCAACTATCTTTGTGAGTTTTCTACAAATCTAAAATAATTCCAAAATAAAATACATATATTTTAAAAAGTCAGAAGGAAAACTAAAGATTATTAAAGGTAGTTCTATTTTTGAGTTACATATTATTACCTAAACACATATTTGGTTATCTTTTTTACAAGTACATTCTACATGTACTTAAAAGCATATAAACTAATATGATCCATAGCTATTTTTTCCACCTAGAAAATGAATATTTAAAAATAGTGTTACTTTTGGTAAGACATGTTAATAGAACATACAAATAGAAAGTCATTACCTAATGTTAGCTTCTATTAACTGAAAACTTGAGACTTTGAAATCACTTAAATAAATTAAGAAATATATTATTGGCCCTAGTCAGGTAGCTCAGTTGGTTAGAGCGTCATCCTGATATGCCAGGGTTTCAGGTTCGATCCTAGGTCAGGGAACATATGGGAAGCAACCAATAAATGCATAAATAAGTGGAACAACACATCTCTCCTCTCTCACTCTTGCTCTCCCTCCCTCCCTTCCTCTTTTTCTCTCTCCCTAAAATCCATCAATAAATACAATTTTTTAAAATGTACTATCACAGAAGCTTGTGACTTTGGTTCATTATTATATTTTTATTTTTTCTTAGTAAACTTATATTTTACTGTGAACATTAAGATTTGTATAGCCTGATATTCACTAATTCTACAATCCAACATCTTTAATGCAAGGGCTCTTTGTCATAAAGCAAACTATCAGCAGTTAGGTAGATTCCTTTAGTCAAATGACTTTGTAATTTGGGAAAGAGAATGCCTTTCTTCATAGCTTTTCCCTTTTCATCAACATTAAAATTTATTGAATAACTTAAACTTTTTAAAACTTAAGAGAAACCAAAATGAATGCAAATTATGTAGTTTAAGGGATGTCCAGTTGAGAAAACAGTATGAATGTATGCATAAAATAATTTCGTCATCTTTAAATAGAAGTAACAAAGACTAGCAACCTGACTTGTAGCCTTAACTCTGTCACTCCGGAGGGTGAATGTGTTTGTGTATGTTTAGGCAAAATGAGAATTTAACCTAACTCATTTCTTAGATCCCCATCAACTCTGAGAGCTCTATGACTTTAGGTAAAAACAGCTGCCTTCTGAGATAGGGAGATCACAAAGGTTATTAACTTGGGTTGAAACTCAGGTCAGTGACAGCCCCTCTGCAATGGTGCTCCCCACCTCGTGTCCACCTGACTTGGCCAAGAACAATCTTGTATCAAAACATTAGCACAAAAAAGTTATATTGGTATCTTTATTTTTTGTTTGAGAGAGAAATTACACATAAACTATTTTTAATGTAAGTTTTAAAAAATAGAATAAAGAAGTAAAAAATGAAATTTCTTCCTTGATTTCAGTCTCTCCCACTCAATCCCATTCTTCCCATCACCTATGCAGGTAGCCTAAGAGTCCCTTAAAGTAATCAACAGGTTCCCCACACCACAGTGAAAGCTATGTACCAAGAACTTCCCTAGCAGATTGACTTCCCTGTCAAATAGTTGTAGTGTGAGCAGTTGGTAGATGAACCTGTGTGGTTGAATTTATACATAAATACCTTTGGCATCATTTAGAAGAGTTAAGTCTGCTAGTGGAGATTGGTGGATTATTTTAAACTAAAGGCTAAAAAGAAACAGCAAAAGAGCATAGGAAAAAATCTGAACATCCAACTACTATGTTCCCACTTTCTATTACAAACAGATTTTAGTGCTGTGGTCATTTACTCCATTGTTCAGAACTGTAAGCTGAATCATTAAATCAAAGAGAGGAGATGATAGGTTGTAAACATTGTCCTCCCCAGACAAAGTTAAAATCATTTTGAGCATCTGGAGTTTAGTTTGATTGACTTTGTGGAGAGGCTGAAAGGGGATTATTAATTTTTACTTTACTAATAGTAAAGGAGTCTCAAGTTTTACTAAAGTATGGATTTTCAAGCTCAGATTTTTGTCCTCAAGTAACTGAATGCCTGCTGAATATGTAGCATTCTATTAAATGGGAAATATACAATAACATAGGGAGAATGAGAACTGACGCTTTTATTAAGCTAGAAGCTTGCTATTAGTACACCTATTGATTAAAACATTATTTAACAAATCTTTTTCTCTCCCCATTTGGGCCTACTTTGCCTGGTTAGTTCAATAGCTATACATGAGCATCACAGATTTTGAGAAGTAGATGTAACTTATATGTTTTTAATTTAAAGGGAAATCTTTCTAGAAGGAAGTAAGCAGGTAGGTGAGTAGGAAACGACTTTGCCATGGATTTGGTATAATCTGACAAAATAGGCGTGATAGGGAGGAGAGACTATTTAAAATGTTAGAATTTGTCTGAAATAATAGCCAGGTCAGCAAACTGAAATTCATGATTCATATCTGCATCAGAATTTTGAAGGAAAGAAAGTTGGTGAAATTGATAAAAGTGAAAAATAAGAGATATAAAGAAAGAGGTTATTAGGGTGAGGTTAAGCAAGGTTCAATAAACTATTTATTCTTACTTTCCTGATTTTTTACTGTAAAATCAGTGTACTTTAGGGATGCTTAGAACCTTTACTGATCTCTCATCTTTCTTTACATATTTTATTTTCTTCTTTAGAATTTTGCCTAGCTAACCAGAAGGATTTGTTACATTGTCTTTTAGGTGCTATGAGTAGAATTTTAAACATGCAAGCTGACCTTTCAGCCCTTTTTGTGATCCTGCTTAACTTGCCTATCTTTTATTTGATTAAGATTATCAAAGGGTACCCATGTAAAAAGAATTAATCACAAACTCCCTAATTTTCCCATTTGCTTTCTGACACTGGTGGGTGGAATGGAAATCTATATTTACTAAAAATGAAAGTGCTTGGTTTATATTTCCTGATGAGACTTCTTCATACAGTGGTGTTGGCTAGACTTGGTTCTCTAATGTAAGGTAAAACGGATAAGTAAAAAATGTCATTTTTAAAAATCTCTTGCTGCTAGTGAGGGTGTATATATTTAAGTAAATAGATGATTAACTTGTTACTCTGAAATGTAAATATGATCATTTTATTTTAAATTAAATATCTACATTTCAGTTTTGTAGTTTAAGAATTCTGTTATTTATAAATTAAATTTTTCTCATTTTTCCATTTAAGTGGCAACTAATAACATAGATGAACAATCAGTTATAATAAAAGTCATTTTTCCCCCACTATAGTTGTATTGGTTAGATCATTCAAAAACCACTGGCTGAGTATCTGCTATGTGAAGAAGTTAACATTGTCATTTAAGGGATTTGTTGCTTTCAGCTTCAAGTTCTAAATTGGTATATAGACCTTTATATTGAGTAAAAATGTAATATGAATGAAAGTTAGTTTGTATCTTAATGCAAATGAAGGGAATTAGTTGTGTACAGAGAAGTCCATTTACCTGGCTTTTATAAGTAATTATTATGAAATTATAGCCTTTGTACCCATGTAAAGGTAGTATTTTACCCTCCTTTTTTGTTCCTATTAAATATTTGACCTTGCAAAATCTCCTGACACTTGTTATACTCTAAAGAAAAGCTTTGATTGATATTTTTTCTTTATTGATTAAAATATCAATCAAAAATTTTTTTAAAAAGAAAAATATTAATTTTTATTAAAATGTTCTATTATTTTATGTTAATGATTACTCATTTATTTCAGCCCTTTGTATTCAGCATGTCTCTATAGAAATAAACCTACATTTCTATGAAAAAAAAAAGAAACATTTTGAATGAAAAACTCTTCAAGTAGAAACATTGTTTCGTTAGAATATTTGTGTTCAGTTGCTGTCTTTTTCTTGTAATCACACCTTGCTAAATAGTGCTAACATGGGAGCATAATTATTAGACTTCACAAATTAAATAAACAAGCTAAAGGAAAAAAAATTTTTTTTACCACAAAAAATTGTGCTGATTATTTTTGGCAAGTATGCCCCATTTCAGGGGCTGGTTGGATTTTTGGTTTATTTATTTTTTGTTTAGTTTTGTTTGTTTGTGGTTCCCATGATCCATATGTAGCTTTGTATGTATTTCATAAATAAGGTAATGTTTGAAGCATTTAAAACTCACCCAAAATGTAGCTAACAAATTGATTTAAACTTGGAATGAAGCCAGTCAGTGGGGAGAGGTATAACAGGGAATGAAAGATTGGGATGGGTAGAATGGGAATCTATATTTACAAACCATATTCTGTGGTATTTATAATTGCTTTGGAATTAATATGACTTATCAGGGAAAGAGAGGAAAAAAAAACACTCCCCACCAAAATAAAAATGCATTTTCTTTTGGAAAGAACCACTTTATTTTCCTCCTTTCTTTTTCTTTTTCCTTTCCTTTTTTTTTTCATTTTCTTTTTTTTTTTTTTTTTTTTTTTTTATTTTAAAGATATTTGGGCTATAGGGTGTATATTTGCAGAGCTACTAACGTCAGAACCAATATTTCACTGTCGACAAGAGGACATCAAAACTAGTAATCCTTATCACCATGACCAGCTGGACAGAATATTCAATGTAATGGGATTCCCTGCAGGTACACATTATGTTTTCGTTTTTAAATCACTGTTGTTTGAACTTAGGTATCTTCATTGGAAAGGTGCATATTTTTAGCTGATAAAAGCTACTCTTACTTGATTCTTTATATTTATGACTTGTCTTAATCAAAGATCCATAGAAATAGCAAAATTTGTAAAGTTCACATTTTAGCATAAAAATATTTATGGGTTTCCTGAACTTGAACTTGCAGGTGTATTTTTGTTTCTTTTTGTTGTTGTTCTGTTTTGTTTTGTTGTTTAATATTTGAAATTATAAAATATTTGCAATATCTGTATTTAAAAAGGTGCCTTTAGTTCTTACCAGTGGGAATTGCAAATAAAATTCAATAGCATGCATTTTTGTCTGGCAGCACATATTATGCTGCCATTAATTACTTGGCACTTGAATATAAATTTTGAACATGATTTTTCTTTAGAACACTGTACAGAATCACATTGTATTGAATAATAGCATATTTTTCTCTATAATCTTTGTCAATAAGAACATTCTTTTTAGTGTTGTCATACAACAGTCAGAATGTAGGTGAAAGTCAAGCATTCCAACAACCTTGATTGCACTGATTTGTGGCAGGGAGAAAGTTGTTTAGGTGTCTCATCATGGGCATTAGATCTCTTCAGCTGTATCCCATTCCTTTGTTATACCACAGAATGATAGTTCATCAGTGACTAAAAACTGTGCCCAGTGGTCCAGAATAATGAAAATTTGTTTAAAGCACCTTTATAATTTTGGATAGTTGAGTACTTATTAGAAATTGTTTATTGGGATTTTTTCTCAGGTCACTATATCTCAAGACTAATACACATATATCTGGGAGTTTATAATTTCACATTCCCTTAGAAGGGTGTTAATTATCAGTAAATGCAGAATAATTACACAGATACTGCCTTTCTCCAACATTGGTTAACAATTCTGCAAAGATTGCTTTGTTGTAATGGGAATTTCATTTATTCACTGAGTATTTACCGACTACCTGCCATGTGCCAGGCACTGTGTTAAATATAAAATATTGTTGACTTGGATATGATCCTTGCCCTCTTCAAGTTTACATTTTATTGATCTAAATAGACTGTTTCAATAATACGTATGGTTTGAGTAGATGGAGAAGAGTGGCCTTTGCTTCCCACTTCTGAATGGGTCCACCAGGGAAAGGAACATGACTTAAGATGGGGTGGCAGTGGGAAAGGCCTCTTTAGGAGATGATTCTTAATGTGTGGTTCAACAGTTAGGATAGGCTCAGCTTATAAGGAACTTGAAGAACAGGCAGCAGAATTTAGATTTCCTATGCTAAAGAGTGAGACTCCATGATAAAATTTGGAGAACTAGTAGCATGATTTATGTTACATTTTTAAAAGATCTAAGAATGGCAGTGGTTTATAAAAATCAATGTAAAACAAGTAACTTTAGTCAGGGAAACCAGCTGCTTGCCTATAACAGTACTCCAGGTGTAAAGTGACAATAAGGATGGAGAATAAAGGACAAATGTATCCTTTTTATAGCAAGTGTATCATTGAGGGAAAAGTTAAAAGATTATCTCAAGATTTCTAGCTTGAGAAATTTACAAAATAGAGAAATTGAAGTAAGAAAATAGTTGAGAAAATTCCATTTAGGAGCTTAATATATATATTTAGTTTACTTTAAAATATGTGATATTTGTGGAGGAAGGTAGCAGATATTTTTACAAGTAAATTGAAAGAAGCTCGAACCTCTAAAGGCCATTTCAAAGCTAATGGTGCTGTTCAGCTACCGTTATAGTGCTGTGCACCTAGTAGACTCTCTTTTACTTTATCAAAGTAAATGTCCATTGATAATGATGGAGAAAACAAGCTATCTATCTGTGTTGTTTGAATAACTCTAATGCCAGCAAAACTAACTGAAACATTTTCTACCTAATATATTAGTAGCTGGGATTGTTTTTGTTATGTTATTGAAACTAGCCAAGCTCAACAGCTAATTAATATACTAGTTATATCCTACTTTATTCTATTTCAGGTAATTATTACTGCTTACATAGATTGCTGATGTAAAAGCAATGTATTTAATAAGGTGACAATAAGGAGGGCCATATAAAAAGAAGTGTACCTTAAAGCTGCTAAGGGGAGGACATTACATTTATTATTGAAGAGATTGGTTACTGATTTAACAAAGAAATTTGGTAGAAAAAAGAAAAATACTGATTTTACAGAGAAATAGAATTATTTAATAATAGAAATACTTATAACTTATTACCCTCTAGTTATAGAAATTGAGGTAACATAAACATAGTCAAACACGTAGAAAGTTGGCATTAAAAAGAGAGATAAAAAGGTCTAATTCTATACAAGGTAGAGTTGTATTTACAGTTCAAGATAAGATGTTTACTATAGCTTACCATTTATTTGAAGTCTGTGCTTTCATGGAGGTTAAAAGTATAGGAAATGTAATGAAACTGAGATGACCTTTATTAAAGTTCTTGAGACTAGGAACCTAGACAACATAAAATTTTATCAATGTATTTCACAGATAAAGATTGGGAAGATATAAAAAAGATGCCTGAACATTCAACATTAATGAAAGATTTCAGAAGAAATACGTAAGTTGGAAAGAAAATAGACCTTTTGTTGAGTTTTGCCTTTCCAGAATACTCAGCAGAAGATTGAGTACTCAACATAATAGAATATGCAACATAATATTATTCTAATAAGTAATTTTATATATTTACTCTAATATATATATATTTTTTACATTGTGACCGTCTTCATTTCTTAAGATGTTTAAATGATATAAGAAAGGTGAATATCTAATATTAGCAGCTGATTTGGATATGAGAAAAAATTTTATTTTTTTCCATATTCATTACTTTCTGGAAGCATTTGTAGAAAGTAATTCTAGGCAGTAAGTGACTGAAATAAATAAGCCTTGCAAATAGCCACTTGCCTACCCATCTAGGTTGGGTAATTTTAAGCAAGTTTTAATAAAAAAGAAGGAATATTTCATTTATTTACAGTGTAAAATCAGGGAGTTGGAAGAGGGTAGTATATAGACTTACAACAAATTTTTTTCTTTTAATTTATTTAAGGCTGAGTTAAACTTTTGACCCATATATTATTTAAGGTAATTTTTGAGATAACATGCATGTGAAAACTATTCAGTGTATATTATGAATGAAATTATCTTGCATGTAATCAGTAGTATCCGTTCAAAAGTGACCAGTGTGAATATTTAGTGAAGTATAAAATTGATTTAATGCCACTCTTTATGCTGATTATACCATTTTCAATATATATTCTATATTATGATGAAAAGAATTTTGTGTGGAAAAACTTCAGCCAATGTAAAATTAACCTCAAACTTAATATAGATATCTCATAGTATTTCTCTTTCAGGTATACCAACTGCAGCCTTATCAAGTATATGGAAAAACATAAAGTTAAACCAGATAGTAAAGCATTCCACTTGGTAAGCTTTAGCAAACAGTACTAATAAAATGCGTTTTTCTCCCCTAATTGATTAGCCCATCTTAAGGCTTTATTGGGTCAATGTATATGGTTACTCAGCACATTTAGAGTACTTGAACAGTAAATGCAGAGATCCTGTTCATAAATACTAGTAAAGACATAAAAATATTTGTTTTTCCAAACCCATAGCATGATTTGATATGGTTAGATTAGATTTTCTCAAGATAGTCATTATACCAAGTTTATCAAGAACATTTTAAAATACTTTACTAGATTTCATCAGTTATTTAAAAATTTCAGAAGAGAATCAAGAAGAAAATAACCCCACCATTCAGAAATATTTTTTATAAATTATTTTGTATTTCAACTCTTTGAAAAAACTGTTCACAAAATTTTTAACTCCCAAGATACCTCTTATAAACTTGGGTATTAGAAGTCCTTAGATAATTGTATGTATTAATTGCTTTTTCTGGAAGAGTATGAGTGATGCAGTATTTATCAGTGTATAATGGAAAAATGATGACCTGGAAACTGAATTAATCCATGTACTATCAAGATAATTTATGATGTGGTTTTATTCAACTATTGCCAACTTAAATTTATTTAAAATATTTCCAATTTTTTATGCCGTAAAAATTAAAAATGTTTTTTACTTTATGTTTTCCAAAAAAGCTACATACCATAAAAGGGGGAATCTGAGGAAGCAGATTATATTTTGCTTTATTTAAAATCCTTTTACTCCTTTATTCCCCACATTTTTTTTAATATATTTTTATTGATTTCAGAGAGGAAGGGAGAGAGAGAGAGAGAGAAAGATAGAAACCTCAATGATGAGAGAGAACCATTGATTGTCTGCTTCCTGCTCACTTCACACTGGGGAATGAGCCTACAACCCAGGCATGTGCCCTGACCAGGAATTGAACCATGACCTGCTCGTTCATAAGTCAATGCTCAACCACTGAGCCACGCCAGCCGAGCTATTCCCAATATTTTTACATGAGTTTATTAAATGGGAATTTTTTTTACTTTGAAAGGATTAAACTTTCCCTTATAATAGGCCATTTGGAAAACATTTCTTCTGTTTCTACTTTTCTTCTCTTTCTACTGTTTCTACTTCTGTATCTTCTACTTATTTTTACGTAGTCATATATCAGCAATTTTAAAACAGCGTTCAACATGTTATATTGCCACAATGTATTCTTATCCAAATAATGTTTATTGTAATGTACTTACAACAGGACCCAAATTAGAAGGTAAGTTAGATCCTTCAAAAGTATGAACTTATTTATTCTACAGAATAATAATAGTGATAGATCAGTAGTCATTATTTAGGGGAATTACTCTTCCCCCCAATTCACTGCTACTCAGTGTAGTCTGAAGTGACTCACACTACCATTACTGCTGAAATTCTAGAGATAGATCTCCTTTGCAGCTTATTTGCTTGTTTTAACTGTAATGATCTGTCTTGAGTGCACCCATCTGAAAGCTCAGCTATAACTCTCTTTAAAACCGTTGTTGAGTATTTTAAATAGCAAATCCATGCTTTCCTTTTCAACTCTAAAAATAAAATTGTGTTTTCATTAAAATATCAGATTACTAAAATTAAATTTAAATATCACCATCCCAAGCATTTTGAGATGCATTTTAAAATATATCTTGTCGCGTCCTCTAATTGTGTCACCTCCCATGTCTAAGGCTCAATATGTCTATTAGTTCCTTGGTTTTTAAAATGTAGTCCTATTCCAGCAGCATTACAATAGTCTGGGAACTTGTTGAAAATGAAGACCTTTGGGCTCCTGCTCAGGACCTCTGAGAGTAGGGTCTAGCAACCTGTTTTAAGAAGTGCTCCAGGGTGATTCTATTGTGCTCTAACATCCGAAAACTTACACCAGAGACTATAAGCAAAGAGAGCACTATTTAGATAATCTCTTAAATCATATATTAAAATAAGATATTCTAGTTCATAGAGCCTTGAGTAAACTATGTTTTAACCAGAAAAATACTGAGTTTTTACATTAGTGTGACATTTCTCTATGTAGAGATGATGATGACGATGATGATGATGATGATGATGACAACTAACACTTACAGAATGCTTTCTTTGTGCCAGGCGCCATTTAATTGCTTTCCATGTATTAACTCATTTAATCCTGAAAACAAACCTGTGATAATAGGTACCAGTTTTAGTCTCCTTTTGACAAATGAGATTACAAAGTGGTTAACTAACTTGTCCGAAGTCACTCAACTAAAGAATGTCTAGTCAGGATTTTAACCCAAGCAGCCTCTTTCCAGACTCTCTTCTGTACTTAACTACACCTCCGTACTTCCCAAGTTCCATATCAATCACCATATTCATTTAGATAGAGCAGCTGTGTCCAGGAGAACTTTCTGTGATGGGCTGTGCTGCAATGGGGTAGCCCTAGCAACATGGAGCTATTGAGCTCGAGAAATGACCTGATATGACTGAGAAATCGATTTTTTAAATTTAGTTAATTTGGATTTAAATCTAAATAGCTACATGTGGTAGCGTATTATTTTTCTTAGAACTTTTTAAAATCCTGTTCTGAATTTGATAATTTAGATAATATAGGAAAAAGATCATTGGTTTAGAGTAAGAAGATACAAGTTTAATTACTTCTTATAGGAGAACCACATGAGATAATGAATATTAGAATGACTAAAATGTGAATTACTACATTAAATTTAATAATTTTATCTTAATTTGGAGGAATAAATGCCCTCCAAATCATGGTGTTATTCATCACACAATATATACCTCCCATATATGTGTCAAGGGGTATAACTAGGAAAAGTAATACAGTAATGTTTTTATGACTTATGGTTTCAGCTTCAGAAGTTGCTTACCATGGACCCAATAAAGCGAATTACCTCAGAACAGGCTATGCAGGATCCCTATTTCTTAGAAGACCCACTTCCTACATCAGAGTAAGTGATCAATTTATTAACTCACCAGCATGATAAAAGTGGGGGAGGCCTGTTTTCTTTTAGTTGCCAACTCCAAGTTGCCACTCCTTTGATAGAGGGTTCCAATGAAATCCTTATGACAAGCGAAAAACGAGCTCTGGTAGCTGAGTGTCACTGAGGAATTTTATAGTGGAGAGGTGTTCCTGTTTCTCTGTTGCTTTAGGCAGCATTCTAGCATTCGTTTCAGCAGGCCTCCAGTTGTTGGGTGAGGTTGGTTATGCATGTGGCGCTCACTCACACTCACTGAGGTTGCTCACTGCTTTCAGTTACAGTTTGAGTACCAATTACAAATCCCATTCCTGGATAAATCTGTGCTCCCTGTGTCACCTTTTACTTTAAATATGCTAGGGAGGGTAAAAAACATTTGGGTTTGAATTGTGACATTTTGTCTGAATCTACATTTTGGTTGCAGTAATAAAAGAGTAATGCTAGGATTAAAAAAAAAAAAAAAAGTTGAGTCATCCTAGAGATGATTATTGATTATTTTTATACAATGAAAAGTACTTAAATGACCTGCTGTGAAGTCACTGATGAGAAAAAAAGATTCATTTTGTCCCACTTGTATGAAAGGTTTTATATTATAAATGGGGGGACAAAGTCCATCTTAAAATGAACGCCATTTAAATGAAGCATTTGAAATATTGATTAGTATACCAGAAGTCTTTTTTTTTTTCTTGTGATCAGTGTTTTTGCCGGTTGTCAAATCCCTTACCCAAAACGAGAATTTTTAACAGAAGAAGAACCTGATGATAAAGGAGACAAAGTAAGTATTAAAGTATAGTTGGCAGCTTCTTGTTTCAGTGCTATCACAACATTTTCAGGTTTGTGTGTATTGTGTTCTCCTTCTGAGTTGAACTTTATTTTTCTGTTTAACCAATTGAGAAGAACCAGCAGCAGCAACAGGGCAATAACCACACTAATGGAACTGGTCACCCAGGGAATCAAGACAGCAGTCATGCACAGGGACCCCCGTTGAAAAAAGTGAGAGTTGTTCCTCCTACCACTACCTCAGGTGGACTGATCATGACCTCAGACTATCAGGTATTTGGAGATTATTTTGTATTGACCTGCCCTGTCAGTATTTGCATGGGTTTGTGACCATTGGAAAATGTGATGTAATTAAGAAAAGGTCTTTGTGTACCTGGGGAATTCCATTGACAGGAAGTGTTACTGGCATGGAAAAGTGCTGACAGTGATACAGTAGAGAGAGTGTAGGCTTTGGAACTAGACAGACTTGGAATAGTTGAATTTAAATTATGCCATTTATTAACCGTGTGATCTTGAGCAAGTAATATACCATTTCCTGGCTTTAGTTTTTCACCTGTAAAATGAGACTGGCAAATAACTTGCAGTTGTTGTAGAAGACATGATAAATCTTAGCACCTTATAGTAGAAGCTCAATAAATGGTATCTATTATTTTGAAGCAACAGTATACTATAGTGATGAACACAGGCTTTTAAATCCAAGCTCAGGCACTGACTCTTGGGTAAACTTGAGTAAGTGATTCAAATGTTCTCAGTTTTCTCATTTGTAGAATATGAATAATGGTAACTGTGAGGTTGTATAAGGATAAATGAGAGAACATATGTATGTAAGGCTAGCCTGACACAAGTGCTTAAAAATAACATGAATCACTTGTATATTTTTTATTATATCATTAAAATTCTTAGTAGATTTATGGTACCCAGTAAGCACTTAACAGTTGTGGTGGTGCTGTTGATGAATATAATAATAAGAGCTTGCCGAGTACTCAGTTAGGATGAAGCATCTGTACTTAGAATGAAGCATACATTATTTTCTGTCATTTCAGAAAACTGAGGCTTGTAGAGGCTAACTAACTTGCATGTGTGCATCCAGAGAGCTGGTAGTAGACCCAGGACTCCACTCAGATCTAACTAAAAGGGCTGCTGCATTGCCTACTTGTGGATCCTATCAAGTGACATTGTCAGTTCTTTTGCAGAAAGACCTGTTTTAAAAATTGTATACCACTTCCCTGCTTATTCTAATCATATTCCCAAATAACCTGGGTTTCAATGTGGGAAGGATACTAAAACTTTGATTAGAATTATTTACCTACTAAAAGAGAAAAAGAGATCTTGTTAAACTGATAAGGTTCCCAGAGCCTGCTACTGTAATTCAAGAGTTAGATATTGACTCTTTGCTTTGGGTAAGGAGAGGTCCAGCAAGTCAACTAGGAAATCAAGGGCAGACATCTGGATGGGAAGCGTGCCCCCCTCTTGGCTCCAGAGCGTGTTTGCGCACTAAGGTGATGACATCCCTAGAATGAAGCAGAGCAGTGCTCCGAACCTCTGCTATTGAAACAAAGCAAAGGCTGCTGCTGTTACTGTTTTTTTTGTGGGTGATTTCAGAAACAGTATCTCTCCACTCTTTTTAAAATGCCATTTTTGCTAGGATTGGCAGAATTTAAAATTATATGACATATTAAATAGGCTTTGAAAGAGGAAAGTAATAAATTATGGTTAATCTTTTATAGTGTTTGTCTTGGGAGCTAATAGAACAAGAGAGGTGCAGGAATGTGAATAATAATCATAACATCAAACTGAGAGGACTGTAAGATCTACCACTGTTCCTACCTTTTGTGCTTTTTTAGAACTGAGAAAACCACTCTTATATTTCAGTAATTTTACTTTTGTATATACCTTGTAGCAGAAAGTAAGAGATTCATTAGTTTAAAGGGCATAAAAATATTTAATGCCAAAGAAAATGATTCTGTAGTACCTTTTCTTGTCATACTCATTTTTATTCTTTAACCATTTGTGTGTGTATTGGGGAGGTTTCTACTGAAGAGACTAGCATGTAAGTTGCTTTGGTTTACTTAATGCATACATCATTAAGTTCATGATATAAACCTCTCAAACAAATTAGTTATTACATATCAAGTGGATATAAAACAGCATAAGAAAGGGGTTATGGCTGTAGAAAAAAATGAACTCTACAGCATAACAATAGACTCACCTCAATATTCTTTACTAGCAATACTTCAGACCTTCATAGAGAAAAAAATGGTATTAAAAGATCTGGGGGTTTTGCCATTTTAATTGTAAAGCCTAGTACATAGCACAAGACTCTTAAGTTCTTAATGCCTTGAAATAAATGACATCTCGAACACACATGATCAGCCATGCTGGCTTGGGATATAACCAACTCATAGAAACACATGGATTACATCTCTCCCTCAATCTCCTTTCTAGCGTTCCAATCCACATGCTGCCTATCCCAATCCTGGACCAAGCACATCACAGCCACAGAGCAGCATGGGCTACTCAACTACCTCCCAGCAGCCTCCACAGTACTCACATCAGACACACCGGTACTGAGCTGCGTTGGAATATTGTCAATGCACTGTTGCTAATGCTGCCGGACTAACTGTGCAGCTCTCTGCGGGAACCTGGTATGGGCCATGAGAATGTACTGTACAACCACATGTTCAAAATGTCCAATAGCCAAGTTCCACCACTTTTCACAGACTGGGGTAGTGGCTTCCAAATTGTACCTATTTTGGGGTTAGACTTGAACAGAAAGTGCTAGCACAGTTTGTGTTGTGGATTTGCTACTTCCATAGTTTACTTGACATGGTTCAGACTGACCAATGCATTTTTTTCAGTGACAGTCTGTAGCAGTTGAAGCTGTGAAATGTGCTAGGGGCAAGCATTTGTTGTTGTATGTGGTGAATTCTTTCAGTGTAACATTATCTGACCAATCGTACACACACAAAAAGTTTAACTGGTACTTGAAAAATACAGTATGTGTTAACTCAACAAAATAACTGAGACTCAAAATGAGAATATTTTGGTACACCTTTCATCCTAGTGTCTTATCAGTGGGTTGATTCATTTTCTACATTAATCAGTGTTTTTTGACCAAGATTATATTGCTTGGGTTTTTTTGAAAGTACAAAAAGCCACATAGTTTTTCCAGAAAGGTTTCAAAACTCCCAAAGATTAATTTCCCACTATAAGTTTGTTTTTATTTTCAATCTATGACTTGACTGGTATTAAAGCTGCTATTTGATAGTAATTAAATATATTGTCATTGATATAAACCTGTTTGGTTCAGCAAACAAACTAAAATGATTGTCATAGACAGTGTTTTATTTTTCCTGTTAGTGTTACTGATTTGTGAGCATGCTTTAAGATGAAAAAGCATGAATGGTAACTTCCTTAAAAAGGCGCGGCATCCAGTTCAGATATTTTGTTGATTTTAAAGCTGGTTGGTGTAGTGCTATTAAAATTTTATTCAGTTTGTTTTCTTTTTTAAAACTTGTTCGCACGTTGTTTAGGGTGCCCTTACTTCAGCAAAGGAGAAGGAGTAGGAGAGCCTTAGAATTTTTGAGGAAAAATAAACCCTATAACATACAATGTACTGTATCAAACTATTTTACATGAATGACACAAGTATTCTGAATTTAAAAAAATTGAACATTGTTAAAAACAAGGTGTTATGTAATAAATTTATTTTTCATAAATCAAAATATGGAGTCAGCTGTATTTTTATATAACAAAAAGGTGTTTTATTTTACTTTAAAATGTGTTTTAACAAGTGGCCTCTAAGTCAATCTCCAGTTGTTTTCATTAATATCTATGTCTTCTGCCTCCCTCATAGAGTAGTGATGTTTGATGTAGATGTGCATTCCTTTCTGTTACACTTAGTACTCTAATACTGTAAGATATGAAATAGATAGCTTTCTAATTGAAAGAAGTTATGTTGTGCCTTCCATTTCTAGACTAATGCCTAATTCTTTGAGACCAATTTGACTATTTTAACCCAAATAATATTTTCCCTCCCTCCTTCTGCACAAAATATAAAAGATAAAACAATTAACATTTTTCTTTAAATTCAACTCATTCATATAAAAATATTCTAAAACAATTAAGAATGAGGAATACCAACACTGATGAGGCCCGACCATAGCAAAACTCATCAAACTGTGCACTTTAAATGGCAATTTGCATTGTATGTAATTTATGCCTTAAAGCTGATTTGTTTGAAATCTAATAGGTGTAAAGCACATAGCGCATGCCCACCGTACCTATTATTAGTGTTCGCTCTCTATGGGAATGTACTTTTTTTCTTAAGGCTTAAAATATGACCTAGTTCTAGCAAGGAAGTTACTCTTTTTAAGTCATTTCATGGCCAAACATTTCCTAGCCACTCATAAATCAACTTCAAGCTTTTGCATGAGCATAAGCCAAGTGCTAGAGTATTGACAATCTCAGGGCTGAAATATTTAAAAGCACCTCTGAATTCAGTAATCTTTATTAAGTTTTTTCTTCTAAATTCTACAGTGGTTAGGGGCTCCTGCTTCTCAAAAATTTTAATGAACAATTAATACTCTGTACAATACTCATCTCACCTGGGCACAGCTATGACGTTTCTCATAACCTGAGAATATTCTTTGAAGGAGCAATAGAAATTATTTTACTAGGTATTTACTAAGTACTTGGTATGTATTTAATAGTTATTAAGCCTTGTGGTCAGACTGAGCTAAAACAAATCACAGTCTCTATCCTCAAATACGCAAGAAACTTAATTTAGTTGAGTCAGGATACACACATGGGAAACACAACAATGGAAGCCATTGGATCAGGCACTAAATGGAAGGCTAAGAACCATAACTGTTGTTCTTTTGAACGGACACAACAGTATGCTGGGAAAGGCTTCACAGGGCGGGGATTGGTGTGGAGCATCAGGAAGAACATAGGCGTTTGGGTCATGGTCCCACCAGTTACTTAATGCGAGGCCTTGGTCAAGTCATTCCACTTTGAAGCCCCTGTAAATAATAACTGTAGTAGTAACTGTGATGCTCTCACCGACTTGCAGAAATACTGAAAGGCACCGTGTAAAGCAAGCTATAAAATACCTGTTCAGAGTTGCATAATTAACTTCATTATCTCAGCTGGATCCGAAAGTAAGACTGAATACCTAGCATGTGCTATGCACTACGTGACACATTTTACACATATTATTCCTCATAAATACCTGTGAGTTAAGTATTATTTTTCCCATTTTACAAATGAGAAAAATGAAGTTCGGAGAGATCAAACCCTGTTCAAACTCAGTCAGCCATGTGGTAAAGTCAAATTGGCTTTCCCTCAGCATCCAGGGCCCAGAGGAAGGAGTAAGCCTGGGATGGTCATGCATAGTGAAGTGACCACTCTGTCCAGAGCACAAAATGTGTCCTGGTTAAAACAGCTGAAGATGAAATTGGTAAGCTTGTGGGCTGCCAGTGAGGTCTGTTCTTTATACAAATAAAGTCACTTATAGGTGTGTTTTCCCACTTAAATGACAAACTACAAAAAGAATTTGTAGTTTACTAGTTACTGATAATGTCTTTTGAAAGCATACTGAACAGAACTAATGCATTTAAAGACATGCTTATTTAATAGGCCCTAACATCAGCTTGATTAATACGGAGTAATTGCTTTTCCAGTTGAGTTACTTCACTGGTAGAAAGTATGCAATATATAAGTAAAAGTAGACAACTAACAATGCTCTCTGATTTAATCAAAAGCTTTTACTATGGCAAGTAATACTGGACTCTTCAAAATCCCTTTGACCCCTTCTTCTAGCCACTGCTGCAGTGCCCAGCTCCACATGGATAGTGATCATGTTTGGGGAGGTGCTTTGCCTGGGGCCCTCTCAAGTATGCGTCCCTTCCGGCCATAGAGCTCGGGTCCTTCAGTGCAGCGTGCCCATTGGGTCCACTCTGAATTCAGGAAATCACAACTGGGATATGAGGAGGGGCTAAGGCCCATAGGGCCATCCTTGACCAATGTTTTAAAGGGGTCAAAAGGTAGGTGCTTCCTCCTTCTATTTCCAAAGCAGAACAGTTTGGAGCTGCATTTCATAAGGCTTTTTAGAAGATATTAATAGAGTTGAGCACCAGATGCCCAGTGTCAGCCAGTAGAACAATGCATCCTTGTATTGGTTTTCATTCCTTCCTTTCTTGTTCTCTCCCTTATCTCACATTACTGCTACCTGAGATCATATTTATAAGTAAACCACCTGCACACAATTCTTTGTCTCAGTTTCTGCTTTGGAGGAGCATGGAATCCAGGCTTTTAAAAGTTTGCTTTCAAATGGATCTTCAAAAGCAGTTGGTCCCTGGTCAGGTGGCTCAGTTGGTTAGAACATCCATCCTGTACACCAAAAGGTTACAGGATCGCTTCCTGGTCAGGGCATGTACCTAGGTTGTGGTTCGATCACTGGTCGGGGCGTGGGGTGGGGGTGGGGAGAGGGAGACAGTCGATGGATGTGATAGATGTTTCTCTCCCTGCCCCCCACTTCCTCTCTTTCTAAAAAATAAAATAAAATCAATAAAAATACATATCCTGGGAAGATTAAAAAACAGTTGTCAATAAGATACCCATTGCTAGCGGAAAGTGGATGGTACTAGCTGCTTTGCAGCAGCATCCATCAAAATTACTAAGGTTTTCCTTGTGGTATTTTGGGATGGGCTACAGGTGGAAGGTGGATCATTGGATTATGAAAAAGCTGGGGGTACTTGAATGATTTGAAACAATGGTATTTAAGATATTGTAGGATTGCCTCACTATTGTTAACTGCTTTGGAAAAGTTAAAAAAAATAAAATGACAAGCTCAGGTTAGCCAGTTAGCAATCCAAGACAGGCTGTTAAAGTCAGAGTCAGAGTCAGAATGAATGGTAGACTAATGCAAATTTAATGTAAATGGAACCAAGTAATAGCCCTAGTTGCACCTGCTTTGCTACATGTGTTATCTTTATTAGAACAGACCAGCATGGCCTCTGGCACTTCAGATGTGGCTTTTGAAATGGCAAACACATTATTCTCCATCCATAAAGAAGATAAAAAACATTTGATGTTTACCTGGGAAAGACAATAGTACAGCCTTCCCCAAAGCTACATTAACTCTCTTTGTTATAATATAATCGCAGGAGGGTTATGTCAGGGAAAATTGGTGGAGTTGGGTGCTGACAGGAATCCAACTCCACCTGGACAAGAAATGTTCTGGCAGAAACAGCCTGAAGTGATATTCTGGAACACTGGAGTTTATTTGAACACTTACAGCTTCCGGGAAACAGCTTGCCTGATAAATAGTAGTTTATTTCAGCAGTCAGTGTGTTGGTAGCTACCCACCTTTCATCCGGTGGCAGACATTTGGGTACAGCAATCCACATTTCTGGCACAACTTGTTAGAGCCAAAATAGACAATAATACTTTGAAATACTGGGGTTCTGTGTTTTCATTGTGGGTATTGCTTGTATCACTGAGGAGTGGGCAAGGAGTCTGGATGCCCTTGTATCAACCTCTACCAACTGAAGCAACTTCCAGGAGATTTAAGAGAGGTGAAGCTGCACCTATTTTTTGTTTGTTTTGTTCGGGGTTTTTTGTTTGTTCGTTTGGGCCTGGGTGTTGGGGGGGCGGGGGGGGGAGTAAACATTCAAAAACAATTGTGTATATGGGAGAATTTAGAAAGCTACCATACATGCTCAGGAAGACACAGGCTCATATATAGCCTGAGAAAACCTTAAGCTTTCACCTTACCCTGATCCCTGGCACAGATACCCTACAACAATTTGTTAAAAGTACACAAACCCTGGGGAAGGTTTTTTAGAGTTTCCATATAAGATTCAAATGTCCAATTTTCAATAACAACAACAAAACAAAAAAATCACAAGGCATACAAAGAAATAGGAGCATGGCCCATTCAAAATAATAATAATAAAATGATACAAAATGTAAGTGAAGAAGCCCAGGTACTGGACTTACTAGACAAAGACTTTAAAAGACCTGCTTAAGGATGCTCAAGGAGCAAAAGGAAGACATAAAGACAGAAAACAATGTATAAACAAAACTTGGATATCAATAAAGAGATAAATTATGAAAAGGAACCAAAAATTCTGGAGCTGAAAAGTACAATAACAAATTTAAAAATATACTAGAAGGGTTCAGAATTAGATTTGAGCAAGCAGCAGAAAGAATCAGTAAACTTGAAGACAGGACAGTTGACATTAACAACTCTGGAGAACAGAAGGGGGGAAAATGGAGAAAAGTGAATAGAGTCTAAAGGAACTGTGGCACAACACATATGTACTAGTGTCGTGGGAATCCCAGAAGGAGGAGAGAGAAAAAGGGGCAGAGATATTTGGACAAGTTAATAGCTGAAAACTTCCCAAATTTATACCTTAAAGAGCTAGAAAAAAAGAAGAAGTAGCTCAAATATAGCAAAAAGAAATTATACTGATTACACCAGAGATAAACAAAATAGAGAATGGAAAAACAATAGATACATAGATAAACATCAATGAATCCCAAAGTTGGTTCTTTGAAAAGATGAGCAGAATTGACAAACTAGCTAGACCTACAAAAAAGAGAAGATGCAAATAACTAAAATCAGAATTGAAAGTAGCATTACAGAATAAAAAGGATTATAGGAAAATACTATGAGTAATTGTACAATGATGAATTGGATAACCTAGAACAAATAGAC